ATGTATGTCTGTCTGTCTGTCTGATTTGTGTCTATTGGCCACGAGGCCAAACCCTACGGGCTCCGGCTCGGTGGCTCGAGCCGTTGTGCCACAGTCGGCCAACCGGGAGGAAGAGTGCTTTGCCGGCTGGTTTCGCCCTGACGGTCGGTTGTTTTGCCAAATCGTCGAGTCGCAGCAGCAGCAGCGTCACACCACACGTCGTGGGATGTGATGTCGCCAAGCCTCTTTGCGTCCACGCGGCGACCGGCTTCCTTGTTCCGGCTGTGCTGGTGGCACCGAGTGGCCAGGACAAGGAAGATGCAACCGGTTGGGCTGCTACCGAATTAGGCGAGCCTGTAGGCCTGAACTTGGCCAAAGTTGCCGCAAAACCAGGGCCCGGGCCCAGCTGACAGCAGACCTCACCGTTGCTCTTGACGACGAAGATGATGAGAATAGTGTGGTGGTGGTGCTGCTGCTTATGAAGAGGACTTTGATGATGGTGCTGGCGCAAGTTGTGAGGTTGATGTTGATGCTGATGATGGCAGTAGTTATGATGTTGTTGTCGATAGTGATGCTGGTCATGACGATGATAATCCCGAGGGCTCTGTTGGGACTTAAGCCCGCCCGGTAGGCGGGGGCAACTTATCAGACGGACGACAGTTTCGAGGGGAGAAGGGGGGTAGCTGCTGCAAAAATTGGTCCCATCATCCGGCGCCGAAACGGTGCAATCGACTTGCTACAGGTCGCGGGCAATGCATACAACTATTTGTGCTATTGAAAATACCAACACTACCACTACTATTACAACTGCAAACACAACAACAACTACTGCCACTACTACTGTTCTTCCCACCACCACCACTACTACTACTACCAACGCAACCACTATAAATACTACTACTGTCGCTACTACTGTTGCTCTCACTACTGTCACTGCTACTAATACATCTACAACTACAACGGCTATTACTATTACTACTACTACTACTACTACTACTACTACTACTACTACAGTTTTTTTCCACCACAGGACGTTGCAAACGGAGTATATGCAAAGAAAATTTGGGTTTCGGGGAGTCTCTTGGTTTGTGATTGTTGAGCTCATTTCCCTTTCGCGTGAAAGTGTTCGCCGAAGAGATTCAAAACTCGAGTCCGCCAGAAGACGGCCAACAACGGATTCCTCTTGACCAGCTGTCGATTGGCTTTACTCGAACATTCTTGTCGATGCTGCTTCCGAGGCAATCCCCTTCGATTCCGATGAAGGAGACCATCTGATTATCATCATCATCATTATCATCATCATCAGCATCTTCAAAGAGCTTAGACAAAGGGTAAATTATATACAGCATTTAGGGATGAGCGGGTGAGTTTTGAGGCAAGGAGGCTAGTCTGCTCTGATGATGTCTGTCAAACGACGGACGAAGGCTTCGCACGTTTTCATCGGAATCGAAGGTAATTGCCTTGGCAACAGCATCAACAAGAATGTTCGAGTAAAGCCAATCGACGGCTGGTCATGAGTAATCCGTTGGTGGCCATCTTCTGGCGGGTTCGAGTTTCGAATCTATTCGGTGAACACTTTCACGTGAAATGGAAATGAGCTCAACAATTGTAAACCAGGAGACTCCCAGAAACCCAACTTTTCTTCGTATACACTCCGTTTGCAACGTCCTGTGCTTGAGAAATGCTGTGAATGTCTGCAGGGGTGTGCTGTACCCCATTTTTTGTAGTTGGAAGTTGCTCTGGATGGAGTACTTGTATTTGGTATATGCTGTCTATGGGTGCGCTGTGGCTTGATTGTATTGCTTTTATTTATACTCAAGTTGGGTGTATCGTGGATGGGTTTACTGCGGAACATGCTATGAATGGGATCCTGCGGTTGGAATTTACTATTGGTGACTACACGAAATGATTTTTGTGTCCTATGATTGGGATAGGCTATGGGTTAACAAGTGTTGTTTGTAACATCGTGGTCGAGTTGGTCTGTGTCATGCATCTCTTCTGATGTGTGTATATTGTTGTTGGGTCTAGCGTAGTTAGTGTATGCTGTTGTCAGGGTGTGCCCTGTTTGTCGAAACCAACTCACTGTTGCCTCTCAGGCCGGCCGGGGAAGGAGGAAAGGGGTGGGGACGATAGGGACACTTACGGCACTTGAAGATGGCAGCCATTTCAAACATAATCCAGATGAAGACGACAGCGGATGTGCACCTTCAGGGTCGCAGGTTGACGTGTTGTGACGTAAAGCATTGTATAGTGTAGAAAATAAATTGACCAGTTCAGGCAAAACTGTTAAGCTAATCTGATATTGTCAATTTGGTCACGCGAAAGAAGCGACGAGGAAGACAATTCGGTGATGCTGCGATCGGATAACGCCTACTGAGGATGTTGCCATATCTTTTGACTGGCTTGCACAAGAGACGGTGGATGCAATATCACTTCTCAAGATGAGGGCAGAAGAAGATGACCAAGCAAATCGGGATATGGACAGTTGTTATGCCGATATAAATTGCCAAGTGCTTTTTTTTGCAAACCTAGGGGCGTATTTTGTCGACTTTCTGGTGACATCGGCTGTAGACTCGATGACCTTGTGCTGGGCAGGACATAATTATGTCATAAACCAAGTTCTACTTCCGTCTGTACCAAGCACAACCGCAACGATGTGTAAGGTTGGGCACTAACGATGCCTTGTAAGTCTCATCTGCCGGGCATTTTTATAAGCCAAGGACTGTCAATCGATAAATAAATTCCGTCTTGGTAGTGACAGCAAATCGCAACTACATCATTTTTGCAATAACCAACACCCATGAACTGTATTAAAAAGACAATTTTTATTTCGTAAATATATATCAAGAAATTAATGTTTATTTCAGTTATAAATAGTTTTATAGAAGTGAGTTGACCTCGTTGTCGCAACTTGGTCTTGTTGTCATGGCGACTATGTAGAACGCAC